TAAACAGTAGGGCATAAATATGAGTTGGAATCATCTTTATATCATTTCGATCCTCAAACTAAGAAACACGATCCCGAAGTTCATTTGATGATTCATTGAGAAAACATATTGATTGCTGATTCAGGTTTAATTACACATGTTTACACCCAATTTTCTTGTGGAGTTTGAAGCGTTTGCATCGCCCGAGGTTTGATTTTATGCTAGGTTTGTGCATGTTTTAGCATGTTTCAGGTTTCAGCAGGTGGAATTGAATTAGAGAGCGAAAGTCGAACGAAAGAGTGGGAAAGCGGTTCGAGAAGGTTAAAAAGGCAAAAGTCACGAGCAAGGGAGATTCTCACGGGCGGGAGACCGTGAAGGTTTGCCAGTGACCGTAAAGCTTGACAGCTTCCAAGAGCTTTTGCACGCCTCGCCGAAATGTCAATTGTCATGGTCAATCGACCTTGATAATTTCGCCCAGGTCGTGAAGATGATGAGTTAAATGAAGCGTTTTTTCCGCGCCGTCAGGGGCAGGCCTCCAAGATCACACCCGTGACTTTCGACGGTGACATATTGCCAAAGGGAGTATAAAAGGAGAAGAAAGCTGGAATCAAAGGGGAGGAATCCTAGTGAGAGAAATACCTTCTTCTTTAGAAACTAGAGAAAGAAATGATGAACAAAGGAAGAAGAAGAGGATTAGGGTTTGCTCAAAGTTAGAGGAGTGAAGATTTTCATCTCTCCTCTTTGTTGTAATCCCTAGCCTAGCTATGAAGTAGTTATCCTTCTCACTTGGGTATTGTGAACCCTAACCTTAAAGATGTGATAGATTGTATAGATTGAATGCTATGTGTGTTGGTTTGTTTTTAATGCACAGTTTGAGGTGTTTTCAGAATTCTTGAGTTGTGTTCTTCATTTCTCATAATTAGGTCAAATTGGCCTAGGAGGAGGGAATCCCCATGTTAGAGGCTTTAAAGAGCTAGATTTCTTGACAATCTGGGTCACCCACCTACGACAATTTAGGGAAAACTTCAAACCTCGATTATGCACCATGAACCTACCATGATTGGTCGTTATTTCGTCGTCCGGATTAAGTTATGAGGGAGTAGTCTAACCAACCCTTTGTCGATTAGCCAAGAGATATAGTTTTCTAGCTTAATTCGATATTCCTTGGCCTATCATCTAAGAGAATGGAGTTTATCCACTAGTTGCAACCTCCTTACGGTGCATGAGAACACCTTTATACATTTGCTTTCCATTCGGTCAATCTTGATACATGGCTAGGGGAGCAATACCCAGGTGAATTCTTCTCTTATTGAAACAACCTCAATTTGATGTTTTTGCTATTTACAACTGTATTTCTTTAGCTTTTAAAATCCATATGTTAGCTAGATCACAATTTAAGTGATTGAAGTAGGAGTACATGGACCGCCCCGGGTTGACAATCAAAACGCTTGTCCTATACTATACCCCTCTAGAGTTTGCACTTGGGCTTTAGTTGGGAACTAATTGTGTAGCTAGGAATGAGTCAAATTTTTGGCGGCGTTGCCGGTGAAGTTTATAGTCCATTATTAAGAAAAAAGCATTTAGCGTTAATCTAGCTTCTTAGTTGTTGCATTGTTGATAGTGAATCTTGCTTGTCTTGGCTCGAGTTGTGTTTTGTGAAGTATGTATAGGAGGTGTATGACCCGGAGTGATCCGACACCTTTGGCGCCACTAGACGAGAATATCAACCAGACTCTCCGATTCTTGGCTTGAGAGAGGGAGTTGAGGGAAGTAAGGTAAAGATTGGTAGAGCGGGGACAACCACACGTTGATCCCGAACGAGAAGTTGAAGCGGAAGTTGAATCGAAAGAAGAGGTTAAAGTTGAGAACCTTGAAATGGCGGAAGGGAACACCCAAGCGGGAGATGAAGAACGGAGGACCATGAGCTATTATATGGCGGTCTCCATCTAGAAGATCAGATTCTCATTGTGTTAAGGGAACATGCTCAACAAGACTCCACCCAAGATGACCGCCTTGTTTGAAGATATGGCCACAAAGGGCTGTGATTGGGGGTTGACGAGGCGTGGGATAAGGACAAGCGAGAAGGGAGTACACTCCACGAAGTCATCGAGTTCTCCACTCACCGGGAAGATTGATGAGTTGATCTCGGTGCTCCTAAGAGAAAAGAAGCAAGGCAAAAAGCCGGTGATGGTGTGTGATTGGTGTAAGTCCCAACCATGGATTGCAGTGTCAATTGATGAAGGAAGCAAGCACTCCAGAAGAGCAAGTGAGCTTCGTTGCTAATGCTAGGGGTTCAACAACAACAACTCCTATAGCAACCCCTACAATTCGGGTTTGCGCAATCATCCCAACTTTGCATGGGCTTCACCAACCAATCCAAAGCCCCTTGGTTTCCAAGGACCAACATGGAACTATCAATCAAGACCTCCTTTCATTAAAAAAAGGCTACAGTTTCAAGGCTCGAACTTTCAACAACAATTTCAACCACAAGGTGGACAAGGGTTCCAACAACAACAACCCGATAAGTTCTCAAAACTTGAAGACCTAGACACCACCTTTGTGAGTACAAGCTCTCAAAAGTTAGAGAAGATTGAGCAATTCATGGAAGTAGTAGCAAACAAGTTATTTTCGGTTCAGACAGGTTCAAGAAGTTATCAAGCGAGTCTTCAAAACTTGGAGACCCAACTTGGAAACCTTGTCGGATTCCTCACCGAAAGACCTAGAGGAGCCCTATCTTCCCAAACCATTGCCAACCCCAAGCATCAAAATGTCAGGGTGAATGCTATTCTTTTGAGGAGAGGGAAGGTAACTCTGGATGTTGCGACTAAGGAAGTTGATGAAGAAGAGGAAGCCCCTTCAAAAGTCATAGAACAAGAACTCTCGGAAGGAGAGGGTGAAGAGGCTAAGAAGGCACCATTGACGCCACCTCTAATGGCTAAGTACAAGCCTCCGTTCCTTCCCCTACAAGGGTGCACAAAGAACGTTAGGAGGCGGAGTGTGGCAAGTTTATGGGGATGCTCAAGAAGATCAATATCACAATTCCTTTCTTGGAAGCAATGGTATATATGTCGAGGTATGCAAAGTTTCTCAAGGGGCTTCTTGCAAAGAAGCAGAAGTTTGAAGACCTTGCCATAGTCACTTTGTGCGAGGAGTGCTCGACCTTCATCCAAAACAAGTTGCCCAAAAAGCAACAAGATTCAGGTAGTTTCACTATCCCCCTTTGTATTGGAACATATCATATAAAGAAATCATTGGCGGATTTAGGAGCAAGCATCAGTGTCATGCCATATAAGCAAGGTGAATTGAAACCCACTAGGTTGAGTGTTACATTGGCTCCCCGTTCCGTTATTAGTCCTAGAGGCATTGTGGAGGACGTCCTAGTACGGGTGGGCACTTTCTATTATCCGACGGATTTCATTATCCTTGACATTAGCGAAAATGCGGATATGCCCCTTATCCTAGGATGCCCCTTCCTTGCTACCGGCAAGGCTCTAATCGATGTTAATGAGGGCCATTAGTATTGAGAGATGGTGCGGAGCAAATCACTTTTTCGATTGATCCTAAGGTTAAGCATGATGATATCAAAGGGATAGAGTCGAATGGTGTGTAACATTCACGTTGTCACTAGCGAGGAAGATGCATGCATAGGATTAGTCCACGACCCAAAAAATTGACTTGTCTCGATTGCATTATCCCCTAGTCAACCATTTTGAGTAGTGTGTCTAGGGATCGCTCTCATGTTGTGTAGCCCGTTCTTTGTGATCTTGATTGAGAATTTTAGATTAGGAAGAGTGACCCTTACTTTCTTCGTGTCTACACCATTTATCGAGTCACCATTGTGCTTGGAAGCTCCCATCAATTGAGCTTCATTGAGGTTCCACTTTGTGTGTCTTGAATGATTTTCTACTAAAGAATGAAAGTGAGTGTTGAAGGTAGTGCTTAAGAAGTGAACATGTGTGTAAAAGTTCAAAGACTGTGACTTGTGTGTCTAGCTTTTTAATACCCAAAGAAAAAAAGAGAAACAAAAAGAATAAAGAGGTTAACTAATTCCTATAAAAAGAGAAACAAACTCTCTAGGCTACAGATTTTTCTAGTTCCTTAGTTGTTAACTAATTCCTATAATATGTACACTTAATAATGAAATAATACAGGGTTTTAAATAAAAAAATAAAGGGATATTTTTCATTTGAAATATAGCGGATAGACATGTTTGAGAAAAACATATAGCGGAGGCCGGAGGGGCAAAATATATATTATTAAGCATGGTTGTCACTTCAGCGGAATATCGATCGGTTGAACCTGGTTCAACAGGTGTCGGTCATGAAACACGGTTTAACGCTAAATAATTTATTATTGTATTATCAAATTAATATTTAAATATTGTTGTTATAGATTGGATTCAATTCTAAATATTTAGGCATTAACGTTAAATATTATATTTAAATATTAATGTTTTTTATTTTATTCGAAAATTCACATTTTATTTAAATCTGAATATGGATTGTCAGTAAATGCTCTTCAAATATATTTTGTATATGATTATATCCATTTGGTATTAATGGTTTTTTATATTTCTACATATTTTATTAAATTTTCATGAATTGACACAAACCGGTTGTCAGACCATCCACTTGCTGGACCGGTATGAACCGGTTTAACAATTCAGTAAAGTACAGAGCAGAAAGAAAGAAAAGACAAAAGAGTGACGAAGGAAGAAAACGGTGTAGGAGGGAGATAGGAGGAAAGGAAGGACTAGGCTTTTTGTACTGTTTTTCCTTGTCGTACAAAATCGTTGAGCGCTAGAGGGAGTGTGGAACAGGCTGACTGTAGCACAGAGCAGTGACAGCGACCTTCTTTCACTAGGGGCGTGACAATGGGGAGTGAAAGCGGCAGCATAAGCTGCGGCGGCGACGCGGAGGTTCGGCAAGTACCGCCTGTACACACGAACATTGTTCAGAGCTTGAAGGAGGTTGTGAACAACGGTAACTATACCGATTCCGATATCTACGACGTTCTTCGGGACTGTGACATGGACCCAAACGCCGCCGTCCAGAAGCTGCTATCCCAAGGTTCTGATTGCTCCTCCTTTTCTGATTGGGTTGTTTCTTCCGTGCTCGGTGAATTGTGTGGCGGAGGAAATTTAATGTGGCTAGGGTTTTTGTTGTGGTTTTAATTTGTGCTTCCTCTCTGCTTATTTTTTTTTTTAACTTTCTTTCTTTTAATTTTAGGGTTCCAGACCAGAAAGTAAAGTGTCTTGTTGATTCTAAGTTGTTTGATAGTGCATTGATTATTCAATATCGTTGATTAGGATTTCTTGTGGTCGGAATCTGTTTCTGTTGTGTTCCCCTGTGATGCATCCAACTAAGGAGCAGCCAAGGGTTCATAACGATTCTTGCCCCGCAGGAATGGCTCTATTTGTGGTCTGAGAAACTGAAATGCAACATACTGAGCAGTGGAGTCTTGTTACAATCTTAATGCAGCTTTGTCTGGTGGATTCTTTTTATAGCTTTGTTGTTCTTTAGGCGTCCGAAATGCCTTCAGGTGTAGTGGGGGAGTCCATAGGCGCAGAGGTTAAGTTTTTCGTTAGTTCAATCTCAGCTCTCGACTTGTATTTCCTTCTTCCATCGGTAATCTTATTGCATTTCTTATGCACACAACGACTTGATTCAGAGTATCTTTTGGATTCTTATTGAATTAATAGTTTCAATGGTGTAGATATTTTTCGTGAGGTGAAAAGCAAACGTGAAAGAAGAAAAGAGGTACCCTTGTGAAAGTAGCCGCCTGCGCTCTGTCCTCCTTTTATCTTCCTTCTCTCTATATTTTTTTGTTGTTGTGGTTGAACAAGTGAAATCATCACTTGTTCATCTCTCTAGTCCATCTATATCGATGATTAGTTTACCATGCCTTTTTTTGAAGACAGAGAGGCCTTCAAATGCTTACTTCCACTTATTAGATGTGTGTTGCTTGCTGTTATGGTGCTTCTTACTTTTTTCGTGTGCAAATGTACACTTCAATTTATCAGATGAAGGACACACAGGACTTAAAGAGCCGGGACAACAGTAGTCATCTTGAAGCTAGAGTTAATGCTCACCGTAGTATAGGAGAGGTTCAATCACAAGCCAGCTATAATGGTGGGTTATACGTATATTTTACTCTGGAGCAACACGAGCTCCTTACTTCATAATAGGTGAATACTTTGTTCTATTGTTGTTTTGAGTTCTCATCATCTGAGCTTCTCTCCTGGCAGAGCTTGGTAAAGCTTCATACAGGAGAGATAATGGGTCCGCAAGTCCTGTCTTACCTTCATCTTCTTTGACATATGAAGTGAAAACTCCTGTGGACCGGCCTTCACCTCATAGGTTTGTTCTGTTTTCTTTCTTCTCTTTATGGAGCATCAATATTTGGAAGACATAATAAGTTTTCCTCTTTGTTCACTTTGTACAAGTTCATGCTTCAAAATTTCCATTTTGATTCCCTTTTTACTATGGGTTGACTCTGCTCTATATATACATGGATGCTAATCAACATGGAGACAGTTATGGTGCTTCTGTATAAACAGTTATTTTCAATGCTGGGTCTATTTTGGAAAGTCCTCCAGATTGCAGTATTCATTGTAGTTGAGAGGCTCGAGAATTTCTTCTATTCGACAAGTAACTGACTTTCACGTTAAGCACGCAAGTCATATGCTCAATAAGATAGTACACTGGTCTGGGAAAATTGGCTGCTGGTATATGCCATCCGTGTGCCCAGGTGGGCATGTTTTCTCTTTAGGTATTCTTAGTTGTCTCAGTACATGATTGCAGTATGCATTGTAGTTTAGGGGCTTGAAAATTTACGGTACCTGACAAGTAACTGACTTTCACATTAATCACGCAAGTCATATGCTCAATAAAGCGTACACTGGTCTGGAAAATTTGCTGCTGGTGCAGATGCCACCGTATCCCCAGCTGGGTATGTTATGTCATTAGGTATTCTTATTTGTCTGTCAGTATTCATTGTAGTTTAGAAGCTTGAGAAGTTTTGATACCTGACAAGTAACTGACTTTCACCGTAATCACACAAGTCATTTGCTCGATATAAGAGTACACTGGTCTGGGAAAATTTGCTGGTGGCTCAGATGCCCACCGTGTCCGCAGGTGGGCATGTTGTGTTATTAGATATTCTTAGTTGTCTCTTTACTCGGGTGCATTTATATTACATTTTTCCTGTTGGAAATATACTTGTTTTTGTGTGCTTAATTTCTCATGACTCAATCAGTGCTTTAATGACTCTGCACTGGTCCATGGCATTGCATCTCATCAATATATTTTTGCCTGTTTGATATTTTTCAGTGTTTTGTATGTTGCACCGCAGTGATTCATTTGAAGATAAGAGCGCTAGTAAGAACATAAGGCTTGTTGATTCATCTGCACAAAGTCCTCTAGCTTCTCAATCCGATTGGCCAGGAGGTTCATCCGGACATGTTTCCAAGGCCGACATTGTTAGGGTGCGAGGGCCTCAAACAAAGGGTATACAAACATCAGTTAGAACATCATCTTACTTACTGCCAGATGCAGATTATGATGGTTTGTTTACTAAATCTCTGAACACTTCACTCTCTCTGCCAGAAATAGACCAAAATGCGCAATATTCACTCCCTCTAAATGGTTCAGAGGGTACTCGTAAATCTGTTACACTTTCAAGTGAGAATGGGCTTGATTATGCGCGACCTTTGATGGAGCGGAGAACTGGTCATACGTCTACCTTTAATTCTTCCAGTTCTTCTGGGCTGGATAGATTTTCTACCCAGTGTTACACACATAACAGCGGATCTATAATATTTGCAGATAGCTCATTAAATGCAGGCAAAGCAGCGGAGGACGAGGCTCTCAAGCATCTTGGCACTGATTTTGTCAAATCAGTTCCTGTTTCTGTTACCAGTGGTATGTTAAGTTCTGATGAGGTTTCATGTAAGATTTGACTTTCTAGGATTCACTAAATGGGTTTGGCTTTGGTCCTATGATGTATGAAATCTACCATTGCATTTTAAAATAGCCAGACTGACTTATGTTCCTTTGTAATAGCTCTCTTATGTATACAGCCATTGGTCCAAGGAATAATATCATGAAGCTAGCACCATTTTTGTGACCAGGAGTAGAAAGATACATTTTGAATGCTATGTGTCGCCGATCTTGATGTTTCCATGTACCATCAGAAGTTTATGCGTTCTAAGTACTCTTTGGTTCCAACATGTTACAAATATGACATGGTTTCATCTTTCTTCTTGCCTCACTCGTCTTGAGCTTGTTTGTACACTAAGTTATCAATTTTATTGTGGGTGCCTTTATACTCAGTTAGAATTATCCGAACCATGAAAGAGAGCAGTCTTGCAAGAAATATTCTATTAGGTCAGGTATCCTGAAGGCTGGATGTGGATTTATATGTTTCTCTGCTGGCTTCTGTATTATGTCATGTACTCTTGTTATAATGGTTTACTTTGGCTGTTACCCACATAAATTTGACAAAAAAGTTCACAAAAACATTCTTTGAAAATGAAACCAAGGAGTTGACCTGGTGCTAAGGGGATGGATGTTATGTACAAACCTTGAGGCCAACATCACTTATTAGAAAAGGTAGTTTGAAAATAATTCATCAATATAATTGTTGTACGACACCAATATGTTATTTGCGTGCAAGGTCTGTTTGGTCCATATTTAATATGCTCTTGATGGTTCTATGCTAGTAGCTATATTTTTGGGCGTAGATGTAAATACAGTAGAATTAGTATTCCTCATTATTCTGATTCTGTTTTTCCAAATCCCAAAACAGGAAGGAGAGCTCATTTAGCATCTATAAGCAGTTCGCTTGAAATATTACAGAGTGCCGAGGGCTTGCAGCAGCTGAGTTTGGAGGAGAAGCCTGCAGAGGTTACATCAGAGAACAAACATGGCGTGGTGTTTCCAAACTATATGCAAGCTTTTGCTGCCGACTGCTCACATTTGAGCTTTGGAACATATAAATCTATGGTGCAACCTTCGATGTCTGTGCCTGCAATGTCTGATTCAGTGAGGAGCAACTCATTTGCAGCTACAGATAGTTCACCTTCTGTGTATGTTGATCCCTGACAACAATTTATTAGCTTGGGGACTTTATGTATCACTTGTTTTATATTGATATCCAATGTATCTTGTGCAGGAATTTAGGGTTCCCTGGTGATTCGTTGAGTCCTGATCATCTTGAGTCTATGAGGAATGTTTCCCAGTTGGCTGATGGTGCTACAAACCGTAGCTTTCCATCACATTTACATCCAGAGTCGATACAGGGGAGTATTCCTGGAGCTTCTCAGCAAGATGAATATTTCTCTCAGTTGTCTATGCACGATTCTAGTTCTAAGAAATTCCTAGACCACAGTACTTCATCATCTATTATGATGCATCCAAATGCTCTGAGTGCTCCTACCCTCCATCAAGAACTGGTTATCTTCTCTTAACTCTATGCTGCTTATCTTGTTGTGCAACACAGCAAAAACCCTCCTAGCAAGCATAAATATTTTTGGAACTAAGCTGTGCATGCATCGGTGGCTAGACTTATTGCTAGGATTTGGACCCTAAAATGTGGATGACGAAATGGAAAAAGGTCCTTGTTTTGTCATTATCTCCAATTTGTATGTGATGGTTTATGCTTGTAATGCTTCTTTCTCCCCTCCTGTTAGATGAATTCCTTTGGATCTGCTTTCCCAGCTCGGCTTTAGTTTACTGGCATTTCCATAGTTGATCAATATTTTCTGATTGGCTGTTCTCTTGGTCCTTCTCTGTCTTTTGTTATCTGTTGTTGCTCTTGATGTGCTTACGAGCTGAAGCTTGTACTTGTTTGATTTTGGTCGCTTAAGCTTGAAAGGTCATCTTGTCGAGGCCACTCTGGGATATTTAATCTTGATTCTAGACATCTTCTTGCAGTGTATGAATTCCAAGACCTTGCCTATTGAGTTTTTGGCTGCTAATGTGGAATCTGCGAGAAACTTTGATGACCTGCTTTCAGCATTTGGCTCAACCCATCAAATCCCCACTTCACACTATGGAAGTATTCCACCATCAACTGGTAGTTCATCCATTTTGATTCCGGAGGTACTACATGACGGAACTTTACTGTCTCTGTAACTTCTTACTTTAGATGCCATCTATTCCATTAGCAGTTATCCTGCTGGCTTGTTCTTCATTGAGATTTATTATTACTATATTCAGCTCCGAGGCTGTTGTTCTGGAATGACGGGACATTAAACACTTATCTATTTAAATTGCAATGCCTAACATTTGGGCATCCCTTCTATATGCAGATTCTGAACTCTACTGCCTATGGCTTACCAACATCTTATTCACAGGAGTTTCCTGGCAGTAATCTTCTCAGGGAGCCTGCACTGTTGCAGCATGTAACATCACAACCGTTCTCCCAGCCTGCTCTGAGCTTGGAAGAAGTGGCAAAGTTGACTGGATATCCAGCTCTCTCTCCAAATTATGTTCACAGTTCCTCATTCTCTTTGCAGCAGCATGCATATGAAGAGACTTCATTCCTTAATTTGGCAAGGATAAAGAACCTCAATCAGTTCAAGGGGGATGGTTCTCGGAGTAACTTTCCTCAGCCGGATGCTGCTGATGTTTCTGGTTATGCTGGATTTGGGAGGCAGTCCAACTATAGAGGGAAGTTTCCTCGTGATTTATCCTCCAATCTTTCTGCTTCTGCTGTCGGATATGGTGATACTTTGCGTTCTTCATTTACTGGTGGAAACAATTTATCCTCGCTCCAACAGGTAAAGCTTTTCGGACCCTGCTTGAGTTCCTTCTGTCTTCATTTTTGGGGTTTCTTTTGTTTCCTACACGTATCTTCCTATTGAGCTGATTTTGGCTACCCTTGGAAATAATTCCAGAATGACATTTCTTCTCCATGGGAGTATGGGCCAGATAAAGCAACTTTATCAGCCATTCCAGACAACCAGTATCACAGTTTACACGGATATAGTCAATTTCTTCCAAGATATAATAAGCAAGACCAGCAGCAGCATTCCCACGATTATGGTGCTCTTGGATATGGCAGCTCATATCCTTCTCAAGGAAGGACAGTCCAAGAACAATGGATCGGCGCTGGTAGTGTTAATAGTTTCCCAGATCCTTCATCCAAGCAGCAAAAAATTTGGGGACAAAATTACTGATTGGTGTTAAAGCCTTTTTTCCGTGGGCTATTGTTATTTTGTAGGGATTTTGATAGAGGGTATAGGTGTCTTAGATTTAAAGTTTTCAGATGGTTCAGGGGTTCAGCTCCCTATCCCATTGTACATACTGGAAGTAATGTTTTGTGGTTATATTTAGGCAGCAATATTGTACTCCATCTAATTTCATATACCGCATTCGCGTCTCAGATCCATAGATCTTTTTGTGAGTTATAATGCCCTGCCTTGCCTGCACTTGCATTTTCATTTTCTTAGTCAGATGTTTTCCTGGTGGAAAACCATTTGCCCAAGTAATACTTTGCAGGTTCAGAGCTCGAGGAATCAGCCGTTCATTGATCCTGTAATGGATTTTGCAAGCTCAACTATGACGGGACCAACCATTACTGGTATGATTGGCCTCCTTTCCCTTCTGCATATTATTATGGTAATGATATGATGATTTTTAGTAGGTAGATCGCACATACCAAAATGCATTACCTTGAACAGGATACATACATATATGTTATAATGTAAGATATTGATGTCTGTTGGGAGAAGGCAATTGACATGAGTGAAGTGTCAGTTAGGTGTTAGGCAGTAAAAAAAGATGTTATATAGAAAACTAGGTAGTCTCACTTAACTTTCTCCTAATTCTCGTCATTCCTTTTGCTTTCTACCATATGTTTATTACAGGACAATCTGCTACTTAAACTGTGGGTTGCTGTTGGATGTAGTTCATGCAAAAACTTCCTTCTTTTATGAATGGCCGGAGGAGGGCAGATCAAAACACTCCTTGTTTAGGAGGGTACAAAAGCACAATGGACTGCTGCACCCATGTTTCTGACCAAAATCATCACAGGCTGAGCATTGAGGCTGCAAGCTTTGGATCCCCCAAGCTGCCCAAGGCCGTAGCCCCGGTTTCAGTTTCGCCTGCACCGGAAGGCGAATGTGTCAGGCGCCCTAGGGGAAGGCCAGCTGGCGCGAAGAACAAGCCGAAACCACCAATCATCGTCACTCGAGACAGCGCCAATGCCCTTCGTGCCCACGCAATGGAGGTAAGCTCTGGCTGCGATGTTAGTGAGAGCCTAGTCATCTATGCGAGAAGGAAGCAGCGTGGGATATGCGTCCTTAGCGGGAGTGGGTACGTGACCAATGTTACGCTGCGCCAACCGACCTCATCTGGAGCCATAGTGACCCTCCATGGCCGGTTCGAGATTCTTTCTCTGCTGGGGTCGATCCTGCCACCTCCAGCACCTTCGGGGATCACGGGGCTGACCATCTACTTAGCCGGGGCCCAAGGCCAGGTGGTTGGTGGTGGAGTGGTCGGGGCGCTGATAGCTTCTGGTCCTGTGGTGGTGATGGCAGCATCATTCATGAATGCGACCTTTGATCGGTTGCCTTTGGATGAGGATGAGATTGCTGCAGCTGTTGTGCAGCAGAATCAGCATTACCAGAATGGGCGTCGCCACCATCACCTCGATATTTCGGATGTGTGCGGCGGAGTGCCCCAGAACTTGCTGGCTAATGGCCCAACGAACCCTACCGAGATTTACTCCTGGGCTGCCGGTCGAGCCATCTCCAAGTCCTAGCTAGCATATTCCGCGTACTGAGCCTAATGATTTGTTTTTTGCTGCTTTTTAGATGTACGCCATGCTCCTCGTACTGAGCCTAATGATTTGTTTTTTGTTGCTTTTGAAATGTATGCTATGCTGCCTATGCAGTGCACCACACGTAAACTAAGACATGGAACACAAGAAGTTAAACGGGGAAAATAGAGAAAAATCTTGTGACTTGCACTTTATTAGAGTTTGTCTTAAAGTATTATGAAGCTGTCGCCAGCTCTGAAGTTATTGTTGTAAAGGATTATCGTTCTCTGTGTCTCCCCATGCCAAGTAGTAGCTTTCAAATCTGGGAAGTAGGGTAATAAAAGCGTGAGTTTCTATGGATGGATTAGGAAAAAAGATCGAGATAATTAGGGATTTGGAAGATATAATTTGTAATTTGAGACATCCGTTTCTGGAAGAGGACATAAGAAATTAGAGAATTGAGAGAGTAGAGATTGAAGATACTTTTCTTATTAACTTTCTTCATAAATCTAACAAAATATGCAAAATATATATAGAATAAATTGGCGAACTTGAAGACTAGACATCTGTCGGTAGCAGCCAGAATAGCCCTTGTGAAGTCAATGGCCTCCTCCATGAGAGTGTACCCGAAGTTATAGAAGCTTTACTGTCAACGGTTTGCAATTTGCTTGACAAAATCAACAAACGCTTTATATGGGGAGAAGAGGAAGGGAAGGCGAAGTTCCATCCGGTGGCGTGGGAGCAAATGACTCTTTCGCCGAGTCAGGGGGCATAGGTATTAGACCGACAAAGCTTGCGAATCAAGCCATGCTTACGAAAGGAGCCTCGAAAATCATCACCAAAGATCAATCTCTCTGGGCGAAGGTCCTTAGATGCAAATACGGAAAGTCAAGAGAAGGGCTCAATAGCTTTGAGAATAACAAGGGATGTTCTTACTCTTGGCGCAGTTTCTCTCAAATTGTGAACCTTTTGCGCTGCTGTATGGCTCATAACGTGAAGGATGGTAAAAAGACTAACTTTTGGACTATCCCGTGGATTATGCAGGTACCTTTGGAGGAGCTAGCTGTGGAAGAGATTCCTGTGGAGCTGCGAAATAAGACGGTGGCTGAGTTCTGGGACCTGGTGAACGGATGGAAGATAGAGGACTTCGACGCGCTGTTGCCAAAAGAGATTGTTGATAAGGTACGATGCTTCTTGCTGGATCCACTCTCACCTATAGAAGACACCCTTTTTGGAAGGTTGCTGCAAATGGCAAATTTAGCACGAGCTAGGCTTTCAGAAGCATTGCCCAATAGCAAGTTTCTCTCACACCTTCCTTTTGGTGCTGAGTTTGGACTCTTTAGTGCCTTGAGAGAGTCGGATGGTTCACTTGGATGTCGATCAAAGGGAGGTTTTCTACCAATGTGATCAGGAAGTTCCGGCATTTAACACCAGATGATAAATGCCAGCTTTGCAAGGATGAGGTTGAAACAAATCTTCGTTGCTTAAGGGACTCCTCTATACCAAACTAGATTTGGGAGAGGTTAGGGTTTCTTGCTACACACCGTGGTGAGAGGGAACTATCACACCAGAAGAAAACAATCGACTCAAAACTCACAACAAAGAGGATTCTAGTGAGAGGTTAGGGTTTCTTCCAGAGTGAGAAAGTGCAAATCAAAGGAGGAAGAAGGAGCTTTGGGCTTGTTTCTAGCTAGAGGATTGGAGATTTCTTCATCTCAAGGGTGTCTCAAGAAACAAGAAGGAAAGATTAACATCATTTCATGGTTATTTCTCTCCTTTTTGTTGATTTCTCTTGTTTAGCTATGAATAGCCTACCTACTCACCTGGGTATTGTGAAGCCTAGTCTCTTTATGTGTTAGGTTGCAAGAATATGAACCTATTGTGTTGATTAAGTGTTTTATATGTTATTTGAGGTATTATTCATGAATGATTGAGTGTGCTAGCTTTAACTCAATATTTGGTGAAATTAACCTAGAGGGTGGAATCCCCTCTTAGTCCAATAAGGAGCTAGACTCCATAGCCACTTGGGTAACCTCCTTTAGGTCAATTTAAGACCAAAATCTCAAATATCGGAGTAGGGCCGTGATTCCACCGGGATAGGTCTCTCCGCCGACCGGATTAATTTATGAGGGTTTGGTTTGCAATTCTTAGCCGGCTAGTTGAGAGGGTTAGGTTCCCTAGCATATCGTTGTCACCCTTAGCCGAAAGGTTAAGTGAGTTAGCTTCCTAACTTGTTGCAACGACTCTCAATTAGATAACTAAGAGAAAGTTAGGGATCTCCTTGGTTAATCGATAAAGAGGGCTAGACTCTCTAGCTATGAATCACAATTCTTCACCTAACGGTTAAGAGAGCTAGTTCCCCTAGCTTATATTTGTTGATTTTCCTTCATTGATCGACTAAGGGAGTTTATCCCTAGCTAGTTGCGCCACTTAATGGTGTATGAACACGTCCTTCTCACTAGAGCTTTGTTTTTCGCTTATTAGTATGAGACTAGGGGGAGCAATAACCAGGTGAAGTCGGGATTAATTCGCAGTGCAGTTCCGTGCGAGTCAATTTTTTGGCGCCGTTGTCGGGGAACTACGGTCCATTATTTTGAAAAGGTCGCTTAGTGTTACTTTAGCATTTTCTATCTTGCCTTTTTGTTTATGTTTTGTGTTTCGTGTGTGTTTTGTTTACCCAATCTTATCTTAGAAGGGTGGTTTGTGTTTGTTTGATTTTATTTTTGTGTTTTTGTGTTTGTAGTTTGAATCATGGATCCCAATGGCCTCTAAAATATGTGGGGGTATCAACAACCACCCGCATGGGGGTATCCCGGGGCTTCATGGAGTAGTCAAGAAGGTGGAAGCCATGGAACAGATTCTATGATCAACCTCCCTTCCAAGAAGAACAAGCATACCAATGGGGGTATCAAGAAGCTTCCCCATATCAAGAATATTTCCCTCCACAACTCGAGGTGAAATCCAAGTTGGAGTTAGCCATGGAGGCTTTCATGGGACAAACCTCAAGACCATGTGCCACTCCACAACCGGAGCCAAAGAGCAAATTAGAGTTCATGGTGGAGTGATTTGTTCGGGGCACCAATGAAGGGTGCTCTAGCATGGACCTTCCCGTTGCCGGCCATATCGACTCAACCTTTCTTCGGGAGGCGGAGGAGCTCCGTCGACGCACGAAGAGGCAAGGAGAGCTTGTTGAGGAAGCATGTGCACAACTTGCTCACAATCGCCTCCCGCCATTTGAAGAAGAGAAAGAGGAGGTCGAAGAGGCAAGCCATGAGACCTTTGGAAGAATGAGCTCCGACATGGATTTCCATCCCCTCCCTCCTCCCGGTTTGACGCTAGAACATAAAGTGGCACGAGTTTGTGAAAGCTATCGCCTCTCATTATTGGAGGAGAAAGAGGAGGTTGAAGGGGCACTCAATGACAACCATGTGGAACTAGAGGAACTCGCACCGGAGAGCTCCCGTGGTGAGGATGAACAAGAAGGTTGCATTGATGACTCTCATCACTTTCCCCAACCCGAGAGCGAATATAAAGACCGAGTCACGAGTGTGGAGGAGCAAGAGAATCCTTTCTATGGTCTTGCATGGCATCTTGCCCTCCAAACCGTACTTGAAGACATGAATGGGAAGGAGTAAGAAGTGCTTGAAGAGGTGGAAGTGAGCATTAAAGAAGGGGAAGATCTTGATTGTTTCCAAGTGGAGGAACAAAGAGAAGAAGGAAGGGAAGTTGAAGATGAAGCTGAAGGAGCAAATGGGGGCCAAGATGACGACGAGGTCGAGGTGGATGAAGCATCCACAAGTTACAAGAGCTACTAATGCTTTCCGCTTGACATCGATGCACTTTTGGAGAAGGACCCGTTTGCGGCTCTTTGCCAAGCCAAGGCCAAAACATTGGCAATCCCTCTTGGTGGATGAGATGGAAGTTGATCGAGGTTTCACAATATGATGTGGGGAAAAGAGAAAGAAGGAGAAGGAAAGAAGGAGAGGTCTTGTGGGTGGAGCCTCATGACAACTCAAGTTCACGAGCCCTCAATCATGGATTCGTCCAATGCTCGTGGCTTGAGATTTCATCTCACCGACGAGAACCTCAACTTCAAGGTGGTTCTTGGGTGGACCTAAACTTGAAGAACAATCGTCCGGTTCACGACGTTAAAGAAGCGCTTGGTGGGAGGCAACCCAACCATCAATGGTTTGCACCTCTTTCCTTGCAATAAGACGACCAATGAAGAGATTTTGGTGGTTTTTTGCCGTCTCCTTTCTCTTCCGGAACTCACCCGCCCTCCGCTCCCAAACACCAACATTCATCACTATCCGGTAACATCGTTCTACTTCCCTATTTTACGCCATTGAGGGCAATGTCGAGCTTAAGTGTGTTGGGGGGGGGGGGGGGGAGCAGTCCATTATGCATGTGTGTGTGAATGATTGGTGTGATTTTGAATGCTTGGAGCCTTGATGTATGCCAAATTTAAAAAAATAATTGAGGGCTCCAAACAATGCTTGTTCAAAATGACTGGTTGGATGGTGAATCTCGTCCTTATTTGGCATCGTTCTTGAATTGTTGCATATAGTCGAGTGCATCCTATTAAGATGAATGAGAGGGCATTAGGATTGTGCGAAGGGTTAGTTCTCATGTGTGCTTAAATGAATGGAATGTCTTGACTTGTTTAATCTTTGATTACAATTGCCATGCATCGAGTTTGTGAATGTGGAATAGACGATTGGGCGGCTAGGTAGCCTGTGAGTTTTGAGTCGATCGTTTTCTTATGGTGTGATAGTTCCCTCTCATTTCTTGATAGTTTGGCTTTGCATTTCATCGTTCCTCAACATATTTCATGCTAGGCTATGCTTGTTTTGATACATTTCGGGTCCTAACACGTGTGGAAGGGTCAAGGACGAGTTTCGGGATGATTGGAGGTCAAAATGCGCAAAAACCGAAGAAAAGTCCAAAGACCGTGACAATTGCCCCGTAATAGTGAAGTGCAGGCATCCAGGTTTTAGGCCATGTTTCACGGTTTCCCATTGGAGTTCACGGTCTCCTAAGGCCGTGAACTGAAGCCATAAACCGTGAACCACGAGGCGTCCAGGGGGGAATCTGTAGTTACTACCGCGAGACGAGTTCACGGTCAATAAGACCGTGAAGATTGAGGCCAAACGGTGAACTCTTGATGGCGAAGCAGCAAGTTTCGACATCGCGCTCTGTGTTCATGGACGTGTTGAAGTGTTCATGGCCGTGAATTGAGGCCGTGAACTGAGCCCGATCCTGGTATAAAATGTGAGCTGAAAGGAAGAAGTAGGGGAGCTTCATTTTTGGGTTATGTTTTCATTTTCAAAATAAAGAGGATTCTAGTGAGAGGTTAGGGTTTCTTCTAGAGTGAGAAAGTGCAAATCAAAGGAGGAAGAAGGAGCTTTGGGCCTGTTCCTAACTAGAGGATTGAATCTTTCTTCATCTCAAGGGTATATCAAGCAACAAGGAGGAAAGATTGACATCACTTCATAGTTATTTCTTCCTTTTTTGTTGTTTTCTCTTGTTTAGCTATGGAATAGCCTACCTACTCAATTGGGTATTGTGAACCCTAGTTTCTCTATGTATTAGGTGGCAAGAACATGAACCTATTGTGTTGATTGAGTGTTTTATGTTATTTGAGGTATTATTCATAAATGATTGAGTGTTCTAGCTTTAACTCAATATTGGATGAAATTAACCTAGAGGGTGGAAATTCCCTCTTGGTCCAATTAGGAGCTGGACTCCTTAGCCACTAGGGTAACCTCCTTTAGGTCAATTTAAGACCAAAACCTCAAATATCGGAGTAGGGCCGTGATTCCACCGGGATAGGTCTCTCCGTCGACCTGTTTAAGTTCCGAGGGTTTGGTTTGCAATCCTTAGCCGGCTAGTTGAGAGGGTTAGGTTCCCTAGCCTATCGTTGTCACCCTTAGCCGAAAGGTTAAGTGAGTTAGCTTCCTAACTTGTTGCAACAACTCTCAATTAGCTAACTAAGAGAGAGTTAGGGATCTCCTTGGTTGATCGATAAAGAGGGATAGACTCTCTAGCTACGAATCACAATTCTTCACCTAACGGTTAAGAGAGCTAGTTCCCCTAGCTTATATTTGTTGATTTTCCTTCAGTAAGCGAGTAAGGGAGTTTGTCCTTAGCTAGTTCCGCCACCTAGCGGTGTATGAACACGTCCTTCTCACTAGAGCTTTGTTTGTCGCTTCTTAGCACGAGACTAGGGGGCAATACCCAGGTGAAGTCCCCTCAAGTTGAATTCTCCTCGATTTACTTTCCTTGTTCGTTCACTTTGTAGTTTTCATAGTTTTAAACCCAAAACCGTTTTGCTAGATAACAACTTAAGCGATTGAAGTAGGGGTACATGGACCGGCTCGGGTTGACAATTTAAATACTTGTCAGATACTCCACCCGACTAGAGTTTAAAAACTTGGGCTCTAGTTGGGGTTAATTCGCAGTGTAGTTCCGTGCGAGTCAATAATAGTGTTGGAAAAAGGTGAGTTTCTATCAATCCACCCCTTAGGATTCTTGAGGGAAAAAAATCCATACTTCTTCATGTACTTCCAATTCAAAACTGGATCACTCTTCCTTGTCCTCCACACTCAAGTTCCAGCAATGAACTTCCAACAACCATAGACGTGTTTCCTTTGTGTGAGTGCGAGAGGAAAAAATTCAATCGTAATTGTCTATAACTGAAAAACAACTACCTCATCTTGTCGTTCGTAGTAATTTGTACATGAGACTTCTTCGAGGCCAAGAATTCTACCAATGCTTGCCGAAAAATATCCACGAAGTTGTTGAAGGCGACCTCACAGGTAGGGGTGTTCATATGGTTACCATGGTAATTACTAAACCAAATAAGCCTAAATTCTATTAATAATGGAATACGATATCATAATCAAACCGTGCAAACTAATATCACAATCAAATTAATCAAACTAAAGTTTAATTGGTTTGATTAATTGCTTAACCAGATTAACCAATCTAACATCGCATTTTCTTTAAGTGATAAAATTTTCCGGCTAATATATCGATTCGCAATTTATATAATGAATAAAACATAACAATCAACACATAGTTGTAGTTAATCCTTAACATAAACCCATAGAACTGGTTATGCAAATTATTATGTTTGTATAATACATATTAGATATATAGCTAATTACCTAACTGGTTAATTTGGTTTTATTGGATAGGAGTATCTGAAACCAAACCAAACTACCTAAACCAAACAAGCTTAAAAATTTAACCAAACCAAACCAATTATCCAAATTTATCAAACCAAATTATCCAAATACTACCGATTAAAATGATTACCACGGTAACCACTCTGTCTGAACAACCCTACTCAACTCAGGGTAGACTAGGCTGGCAGAGATGAAAGATGAATCTTATGGTGGTACTGATCATAGCAATGCGATGACGATGTTTGCTGTGCATGGAGCAATGGAAGGAGGTGGCTGTCTGGCAGCCACTTCGGTGGTTGGTGGAATTGATGGGGCGGCGGAGGCAAGCGCCGATGACTCCGGTTCTTTTTGTTCACTTGGACGAGCTTTGCATTCAAATCGTGAACAATGTCCCCGAAGTTAGAGATCCAAATAACTCATAGTGGAATTAAGGCTATGATATCACTAATATAAACGTGAATTTCTACGGAAACAAGAAATAAGCAAAGCACATATATATAACAAGAGTTTAGATAAACCTAATATTTTTCGTGCCCTAATCTGCCGCCTAACCCCAATATAATAGGCTCAAGAAAATTCATATCTAAGGGTAAAACATTTTTATTTTCCCCTCGTTGTGCTCTACAAAATGAGATCCATTCTCAATATTTTTCCAGGAAAAAATATTTCTTGCCTCTCGGTACCAACTGCGTACCATATGGTATCTTCTTTGTTTTTAATTCGATTTGAAAATTTTTGCAAAGAAGGAATGAGTTTATCATGATCTATTTGATCTACAAATTTCTAGGTGAACAAAATACAGGACAAAAAAATACCACACAATACCACCCTGGTACGAGGTGGTATCTAGTGGTACACAATGTTAAAAGTCGTAAATGACAGTTAATATGCTTATACTATCGTGTATTCAACCATCCTACAGTCTTGGTTTGTTCATACCACCATGGTACGCTTTTCATACCATAGGTATTCTCTTATATCAATACCAGTCAATACCATATGGTATAATAGTGGTAAAAAATGACTCAATTTTTTTATTTAAAAAATATATCAAAGTGGATATCATTTTGTAGAACACAATTAATCCAATTTAACTGTGCAAAAAAAATTAAATTTCAACATAAAATGAGCGAGAAATCATTCATTAAAGATTAGGGGGAATTAAAAGCTTTTCATGAGAGAGAAGAGGCACTAATGTGGCGTATTCTAATTTGGTTAGGCATAGTTATTGACCACAAGGTTATTGACTGGATCCGCTCCCCAATAATAGTAACAATTTAATAATAATATAATACTGATGAAAAAAAGGTAGGTTTCTATCATAGGTGTGTGATAAGCATTTGATTTGCTTTATTTACTATTTGGACACTTGTCGGTTTTGATAAAATGAATTGATCAATCTTCATATTCTGTAATAATCGAGACTTCTTATTAAAAAAAAGAACATAATAATTATGGGATACGGTGACAACCCACTTTCTAGCCTTTGGATACGCCATCTCTCCTGTCTTTTTTTTTTAATTGATGGTTAGGATTAAAAGAAGGGTATTTTTGAAAAGGAAAAATATTACCACACCCAATCATTCTCCCTCCCATATAAATAAAATAAAAACCCTAACTCCTCCCTCTCCCCCTCCTCTCCCTCTCCCTCCTCCCTCTCTCTAGACGGCACCGCCGCCGATCTCCACCATCGCTGCCGCCTCTCTCTACCCAACACTGCCTCTGCCGCCCTCCACATTCCGCCCTCGTCCGTAGCCCCCCACCCTCAATAGCCGCCACCTCCCTCACCCCCTGTCGAGCCCTCCACCGTCGCCGCAATTAGGGCTGGAAGTTTGGTACCGGTATTTGGGATATACCAAATACCTTACCGAATTTGGCTATATTTGGCATTACCGAATACACATATTATTTCTTGGGATTTGGATTTGGATTGGTATTGAATTTCAATTGTTATTCGGTATTAGGGATTGGGATTGGGATTTGGATTGGGATTGGGATCGGTATATACCGAAATACCGATCAATACCAAAATATAAGCTAGTGTGTATTTTATTCTCTCAACTAGACTCTCTCATTAACTACTACACGACCCTCAGGCCTCAACCACCAAGAGTGTCATTTAATTATACATAGATCATTCCATCACTATTTCACAACTTAGAAGTCCCCATCCAACTCAAATTTGACTTTCCAATTTAAGTCGCTCTCATTTCTCACCTAATATCTTTTGTTATTTTCATAACATAAAAAAAAACACTAGTATTAGTCTCTCAACCTCCAATTCGTCAAATTAAAGATTACCTTACAAGAACTTGAGATATCGCATCTCCTCCATTCTCCTTATCTGTATCCTAGCTATAGCCAAACTCAATATCGCCGATGGAACAATTCGGGTTGCGGGTCAGGTTAGTCGGGCGGGTTAGTCGGGTCAGGTTCTGTTTTGACATCTATAGTTGTACAGATGGAACATATTAGTTGTGATGTACAAAATTATATACATTTTCCAAAAATTTTGAGAAAAAAATCCATGCTACCCATACCACCCTGTTACCATATGATGCCACCTTTGTTTATACCTTTGTGTTTTTAATAATTTTGCTCATAAAGTCCAAGTTCATTGTGATCTATTGAATCTCCGGAAAAAAAAAGTTTCAAAGATCAATCCTATTCGGTTTTACTTTCCATTGATCGTTTGAACAGTGCCCAGAAAGTTTGATTCAGAACATTTCAAGCCCTAAGGTGGGAAAGGGCTGGCCTACGTTTGATTCCCTCCATCTCAGTCCCCAATCTCTCATTAAGCAACCAAAACAAACAGTTAGCAACATGGAATGCTTTTTCAGGTTATATCCACATAATTGTGTTACCAATCCTATTCGTTTTGCTGTAATAGCATTTCATCTAAAGCATTATAGATCTTTGCAGCGGCTGGATGCAACGTTCCGCCAGCTACAAACTCATGTACTTTGCCATTCAGTTCAATCGAACTACACCCAGGAACTTTCTCAATCTGCTTTTGTTTGAGAACAACTCTCTGCTCGATAGCTTTCTGGTACCTACCAGAGGAAGCATAAACATTGGACATGAGCACGAAACTCGAAGTTTGGCTTGGATCCAGCTCATTGAGCTGCCTTGCTGCTCTTTCAGCCATTTCAGCTTTCCCAAATCTTGTGCTGGAAGATAGCAAAGATCCCCATATGATCGCATCTGGAGGAATTGGCATTCCTTTGATGAGCTCTTCTGCCTCTTCCAGAAACCCAGCTCCGCCGAGCACATCAACCATGCAGCTATAATGCTGTACTGAGGGTTTGATATTGTAAGTTTCTGTCATCAGTGAGAAATACTCCTTTGCCGAGTCCACCAAGCCAGAGTGATTACAAGCTGTCAAGACCCCGATGAAACTGACGAAATCGGGATCCAAAGACGAGGATGATTCAAGCTTCCTGAATAGGTTGATCGCTTTCTTCTCCTGACTATTCGTGGCCAGGCCTAGGATCATGGAGTTCCAGCATGACAATCCCTTCTTAGGAGCAGTCTTGAAAGCATCAAGGGCCCTGTCTATACTCCCACACTTGCAGTACATATCTATGATGGCTGTCACAACTATTGGGTTCAACTCAAAACTATTCTTGACAATGTAATCATGAATCCATTCTCCTTGCCTGATTGCACCCAAACAAGCGCAGGCATTGAGTAAACTCACCATCGTGAATTCACTCGGCTTAACCTCAGCCTCTTCTTGCATCTGCCCAAAAAGCTCCAAAGCCTCCACAAACTTTCCATTCCTCACATACCCACTTATCATCGAATTCCAGGAGATCACATTTCTCACAGGCATTTCATCGAATACCTTCCTGGATTCCTCAATTTCGCCAAATTTAGCAAGCCCCATGAGCATTATGTTCCAGGTAACGGGGTCAAAATCTGGATGACGATCAAATATTCTCCCTGCTTCGCTCAAAAACCCACAGTTCGCGTACATAGACAAGATGCTGTTTCTTACAAATGGATCATCTTCGAGCCCTGATTTAATTACTCTGCCGTGGAGCTGAGCCCCTTCATGGGCGAACCCAAGCTGAGAATAGGCCTTGAAAACGGAAGGGTAAGTCAGCCTTGAAGGTTGGACGGGCGAATTGACCAACATCTCGACGAAGAGGGTGATGGCAATTTGAGGATTGGAGCTGTTAGAGAAGCCTCGAATGATGTGGTTCCAGGAAAAGAGGGTGGGCTTTCGAATGCGAGAGAAGACGGAGCGAGCGTAATTCATGTCGCCGGCGACGGGAGAGGTGCAGAAGGCCAGGACGCGACTGGCGGCAATTGGGTCATTGAATAAGCCGGTTTTGATGAGTTGGCAATGGATTTTGTGAAGGTCTTTCATGGTTGAGCAGTGGGTTTCGAGAAGGGTGAGGTAGGGCTGGTCGGAGATGAACTGCGATATAGAAGTTGGGGCCGCCGGCGGCGGAGATGGGCAGCAGAATTGTGCCATTCTCACTATTCAGTGGCTCCCGTTGTGTTCCCTCTTCTCTTCTTGGTTATCAATAGATTGCTTGACGTGACTATTATTATCTTATATATAATAGCAGACTACACTTTATTACCCCAACCTTTCAACTACTGTTTCATTATTTGGCGTTTTGTGGGATGGAACTTAAAGAGAGCTTCCCATTCATTCAGACTTGCTGCCAAACCGAAGAGCTTCCCCTTCTTTTTCTCAATTGCAGGTGGCAGGTGCCCATACTTTCAGTGTCCTCCATCTTTTCACGGCCTCACCCCAAAATCCACAATCACAAGCCACCACTTTAGCCTTCTCTGTCCCGAGTCCTCGTACAGCTGCTCCTACACGCCACCGGCCATCCCTTCTGCTGCTTTCCCTGCCAAATATATCTTCCACCAGTTCGTACAAAAAGAGACTCTACTGTTTTCCTATTCCATGCTTTCCGTCTCAAAGCAACTACTCGTGGAGGACTCCTCCATTCATGGGTCGGCGGAAACCCAATTACCGAAGTCGTGGCCGTTGCTGCAGCACGAGTCCGTACCGCGAGTCATTGCTACATCAGAAGTCCGTTTTCCCAGAGACGACTACAGAGTCAAAACTTCTTCCTCGGAGAATGATGGGAGGTCTGGAGGAAATGGTGTTCGTCGAGATGTGGTAGCATAGAGTCAGAGTGTGTGTCCGGGAAGGATGTAGATTTTAGGCCCCACAACGGCCAATCTGGCGTGTCTGAAGAGTTTGCGGGAGAAAGTACGGAATGGAAAAGAAGAGCCTTTCACATTGCGATCTACAGGGGGCGGGGGAGAGAGGCGGCGAAGAAGGAGAGGAAGGAAGCGGAGTCTAGGAGGTGTGACCAGCGGTGGATACGGAGTATGTATGCTTAATTTGGGGTTTCAGTTTCTTATGTCAAGCTCTGCCGCTTTTTCCATCGTTGTTTTTAACTTTTGGGGTTTCAATAATGCAGGCCATAAAAAGCCAGCGTCATCCTCGAATGATGAAGGGTTCAACTAGCTAGAAGAAGGAAGTGCTGCAGAATTGGTGATGAAAAGATAAAGGAGAGGAAGAAGAGGAAGAGAGACAAGGGGGAGAGACTGCAGAGAAGAAGGATGATAAGCATGCTAAAATGAAGAAGGTTTATGTAATTTGGGGAGTTGGCAGGTTTAGGTAGCAGAGTAGCCACTAGCCATGGAGGAAGCGGAGAAGAAGTATCAACTGCTATTCGGCAGTGTGAAGGATGAAATGGAGAGATGGGAGAAGCTCTTCAGTCGCGTGTTCTTCTTCCATCGTTGAGAGTTTACAGGTGAACTTTTATCATGCTTTGCTTGCTGAATCTCTGGAGCAAATATGTGTGCTTGAGTTCATTTCTCTGTTTAGTTTTTTTCGGACTAATTATTTCTGAGGACAAGAAGCCAAAGGCTGTGATTAGTTCCCACAAAATGATGTCATTCTCGATGTGCTAATATTCATAGCAAGGTTGGCGTTACAATTTCCCAGTTTTGTAATTGAAGGACACCAAATATTCTTATTGCAGATCATCACCCATCAAACATCCAGAAGTAGGCAGATGAATATGCAGGTCTAATCATGGAAGTAAGTCGATCTTGAACAACATGGAGACATTATTGTTGGACAGTGTAAGTAATATGCAACAAGACAAGGTTTCTTAGTGGGTTGTTTCCTAATGCAAACAGATAGATAGGCTAGAAATGCTTCTGCTACAATTTTTGGTTGCTCTCTGTGTTGTTTGATTGTGGCATCGGTCTTTGAATACTTAGACTTCTGCAGGCTATCCACTTTACAGAGGTTGTCATTTTTCAGGACTAAGGTAGGAGATGTTGCCTGGTCCAACTGGGCTACACCATCAAGACCAGAAGCTGATTTACGAAGACAGAAAAGGGATTCCAAGGCATTCCTCAATATAACATAAGCTTCAGTCTACTGAGGCGAGAAAGGATTTGGAGTATCTTCCTGTGTCATTCCTTTAGTCATGCTTAATTATAATCCCACTAAAGAAAATCATGGAATTTTTTCATTTATTAACTCTTTGAGTTCCTGTTTCAGTTTGTTCAGCTTCAACTCTGAAGTCTATTAATCTGCCACCCTGGACCAACGAGCTATATAGGATTGAGGAACCATTGTTGGCACTTCCTCATGCCGAAGACAACAGGTGGGAGGCTGATGAAGGAACAAATGTAAACAGCCTGCTCGGAAGTAGTTTTAGACTGCACCAACAGTAGCATGTATATGTGGCAGCAACAACACTTGCTGGTATTAATCTTGCCCTTAACATTGATACTTTCAGATTTAATTAGTACCTTAGGTGTATGTTTATAAGGTTTGTAGATTACTACTATGGTTGGCTATAGTAAAAAGTCAAAACACATTCTGCCAAAATTGGTCCTCCTACTTATTTTGCTTCATGTGGATTTGGTGTTTTGATTATGTGGCTTAATTATATCTGCCACCATTGTTTTGGACTGCCTTTCATGGTCTCTGTCAGTCTTTATATATATAAATTACGTCATTGGCAATCTAACTTCAGATATTTTCGGGTAATCTGATTCATCGCTCCAAGCTTGCTACACATTTTGTTATTCCGGATGAGTGATATGCCCGGCTGCTCTCTTTACCTTCTATTGACAGGTTTTTCAGCGATAGGAAGAGGCTGCTGGATTTGTGCTTTTTGGCATAAACTAACCTTTGTTCAAACAAGTATCATAAGCTAAACTTCCCATTTAATATTCTTTCTTTCAATTCTTTCCATCGTCATTGTTAGGTCACGAGTCCCTAATTGAGTTCTCAACGTCGTTCGTATTGTATTGTTCTCCTTTGGAAATTTCCTTTCCTAGGCTGCTCTTTGAACTGGAAAATATAGTTAAACTGCAATTAGTTGAAGCAGCCAGTTGTGTTGGGTGTGATAGTTTGGTCACTTTAATTCAATGATGACTTCTTATGTTGTCATGTCTTGGTTTCAGCAATGATGATTGAACTGGGCAATGGAATTGACTGCAGCGATGGAGATGCCTGCATGTTCAGCTGCCCGGTGTGATGGTTTTGATCACTTATACGACACCCGCCAAAAAAAAAAGAAAGAGAGGAAACAACTGGATTTGCGGAAGCAACCATCTTCCCGGAATTTGGGCAACTGCTTTGAGGTGCTCTAATGATGATGTTGCATCAGAAGTCAATTTACAGCACCAGGCTAAACTGAAACCCACACTATCAACAAAGAATTTTTTATGCTAGCAAAGATCTTCTTTTTTTATAATGGTTATGCTAGCAAAGATCTACTTGGCCATATTTCTGAATGGTGCAATGAGTTGAAGAAGATGTCAATTAGAAGTAGGGACTGAGAGGAGGATGGTGAGACCTTGGAAGCTAACGAAAACCAAGTGTTCTGCAGGCTTTTGTTTGAACAAAATGGTAACATTAAGTGGTGGCATGTTTACATTAACTTTAACATGATGGTAGTCATAAAGAAAAAAACTGTGCTAACATGTTTTCTGTTTGCAGGTCTTGGTGAAGTATAGTAAATTTGTTATTGTCTTGCAATAAGCATCCCAATTTGACAATAGACAGGTGAGTCACAAAATCAATTTTTATCTTTCAATAGACAGGGGAATCCTTGCATAAGAGAAAACTACAACGGCCTGCATTGACCATAAAGTCATAAACTAAACTGCCCCTTCATTCATCACGACTCTGCAACTTAAGTCCCCGCGGCGTAACAGCGGGCATTTTTTCTAGTTTGCATAACGGTTAGGTGCTAGGGATAGAGTAGGACGAGTGGGCGTCCGCTTCGGGTTCACACTTCCGAACCAAATCGAATTCGAGCCGATCAAAACTGAAATGTATATAAATCGATTTGGAATTCGGGGGAAAAAAAGCTTAATTCGAAAACCAGAGTCCTTACTACCGCACCAAATTTTGATCGTTGAACCGAAAACTGAAATACACAGCTCAACCCTTCAATCAGTAAGCTACCAGGTCAAACCCCAAGCCCACCCTCAAATCATTCATCTACCTTTAATTATTCTTAAGGCGCTCACCAGTCAAACCCTAAAATTTCCACCTATTTATGTAGACTCATTTGTAAGCTAGCAGGGAAGCGTTGAGAGACATGCCCAGGAATAATCAAGCATAGATGAAGCATATAATCACTAAAACAAACAAATTCATTCACAAACCATAACACAACTACATCCACGTTCAAAACCTAAATATATGATTTGGGGGTTTTAACCCCTAGTACCTTACAGGACTTCCATAAAAGAGGGAAGAAAACACATGCAGAGAAATTAAAGAAGACCTGAATTGGGGAGAGTTCCCTTCCTCCTTCTCTTCTTCTCCTTCCTTCAACTTCTCTCTCGAACCTCACTTTAGAATAAAAAATCTGCCAAAAATCAATATACTCAAGCGGAGTAGTCCCCTGTTTATAGAATTCCGAGGACATGGGCAAGTTCACGAGCAAGGGGTAGAAGATCGCAGTCGTGATCTTTGGGAGAGAAGCCACAATCGTGATCTTTGGCAGAGAGGTCGCGATCTTGAGGGTCACCATTTACGTCTTGTTGAAGGTTGAGCTCACGGACTGACATGACGGTCGCGATCCGAGATGTCACGACAAGGATCTTTATCATAGTCACAGATGAAGAGAACCGTGAGTCGACTGTCGAGACTCTCTGCTCCTCCCTTGGTGGCTACTCCTGAAGTTCGCGCACTTGGCATCAGAGTTCGTGGCCATGATCTTAGCACTAAAGGCTGCGATATTCGTGCTCTAGGTCACGCTCTCTCTTCATGGCTGTGATCTTGGCTTCTTCGGTCGTGATCTTGGCTCATTTGATTGTGATATCCCTTTTTTTACACTTGTGCCCCTTTTTGGTACCTAAATTGCTCATATAATCTAATAGACCCTAATTTGACAATATATTCTCCGAGGCTATCGGCAGTCTAACCCTAACATTCTCACCTAGCTCTGTAGACTCAGTTGTAGGCCA